AGAATGTTTAATGGCAGTTAGAATTCTTTTGCTATAATACTGTTAGCCAAAATAGTGTACATTAAAAATGTGTATGTGTGATTAAGAAAGATCACCATTGGCTATGTGTACATGTCCTCAAAACCACTTTATATTTTCCTATAATTCCAAATTTTATGTAGTGAATCATGTTCTTTAAAATGAGAGGGGAAAAAGTGGAATGGTAAAAATGTAGTTGTGAAGACAAAGGAGATGAACTCCAAAATCAATACAACTTATTTATTATGAACAGTTTGACAACACCCATACCCCTCAACCTGTTAACCTCCTCTTTACTACTTCTGCTCTTATTATTTATTTCTATATTTAAGATGCTTTCCAGATCAAGATGAAAAAAATAAAAATGCTTGTTAAATTCTAGAAGCTTGTGTTAATGATCAGAATTCATAACAGCAAATAATCCAAGTGACATTTTTGACTTTTGAATGCATTGTAAGACTTTAGTCTAATTATTTGTTTAGGTATTTGTTTAGGCCTTGAGAGTGAGAGGAATTGTCTAGGACAAAATAAGAAATAAGGGTGGGAACCTTTTGTTTATGGATATCTCTAATAGAATTGTCTTTTGGCAGTGAAGTTGAGCAAACTTTGACTGGAACTTTGGAGATGTAATAGATGGTATTTTATCAGTTCTATATCAAAAGAGTCAACACTCCTAATTATATCATCCAAATAAAAATCAAATGTTTTGTAGCAGCTTTTATTTCATATTTCATTTAATTTTATTAGCCCATAAGGCCTCCATGAAATGGATTAACCTTTTTGAAATCCACAGGTGGATATTAACATGGGGGTGATTTGTGTAAGACTGCATGGCATTTTAAAGTTCTAGCTGCGATTCAAATATTACATATGGAAAATATACATGGAGGAAGTCAGATTACATGTGTTTAATTTTATGGTCATTGTTTTTTATAATCAGTTGGCTTTAGGACTTCAGTTTGACAGTTAGCCACAATTGAAATTCACATATTCCAATCAAGTGTATCCCTAGCCACGAAAATACCTCACTGTTACTATTCAGAATTAAATAAACGTTTTCCTACTCTTCCACTCAAGGAGTTCTATGTACATGCGCTAAATCTGTATTTCTATACAGAATGGAGATGGTAGTGATTGTGAGGACTGTGGACACATCAGTAAGAGGTGTGTGAGTTAGCACAGTTCAGTCTTAGAATTGAAACCCAAGCTAGAGAATAAGTTCCAGGCTTGTTGTTTGTTGTTGCTGTTTTCCCCCACAACTCCCTTTATCACACATCAGAAGTAGAGAACAGTAAATGGCCCAAATGATCTTGGGATGGGGATTAGACCTGTGGGAGAAGACACAGGAGGAAGAGCTGACGGAAGTGTCTGACTGTAGAATCTATCTGGAAAAGAATACAAATCGGCCGACTGAAGGTGACTGGCTGCATGCCTGTGTCACACCTCAGCCTTAGAGTCATTCGTCCTTCCTACCTACAAGGGAAAATTCTGATACTGTGGAATCACAGTCCTTTAAAAGACCATTAAATATTCCAATATTATATACTGACAGGGTATAGTTTAAAGGAGAAATAATTTTAGATCTACATTAAATCAATCTATTTGCTTCTCTTTATTTTCAGAAGGGGAAAAAAAGGGCCAACTTTCCATTCTCATTGAGTTGATAAGTTTTGATGTCATGAATTTTTAATGTCTCATCGAAGAATTTAATTATGAACTGGGGTGTGAAGCATTGTGTTTGGTGTCTTTTCTCCTTAGACTATCAAATAGGAAGGAAAATGGTGATTATCCAAATAAATTAAAAGTGGCCATTTACGTAACCATCTACTAAAACTGCCTACTAAGAATGTTTACAGATGTTCATAGTTAGCATTGAATTTTGCCAGCAATAAAAGTTAATGCAGAGTTTCAGTACTCTTTTTTTTTTTTAAGATTTTATTTATTTGACAGAGAGAAACACAGCGAGAGAGGGAACACAAACAGTGGGAATGGGAGAGGGAGAAGCAGGCTTCCCGCTGAGCAGAGAGCTAGATGCAGGGCTCCATCCCAGGATGCTGGGATCATGACCTGAGCTGAAAGCGAAACTTAACAACTGAGTCATCTAGGCACTCCACAGTACTCTTAATTACAGAATTGTTCATAGAGCGAAAGGTTCAGCAAATAATAATGCATTATTAATCTAAAAGGCATTGTATATTATCTACTCTTACATGGGGATTTTACTATAATTCAGGAGAACTCAGGAAAATAAATACATTATGGTAAATTTAGTCCACATAATCAATAATGATGAAATGTTCTTTTTTTCTTCACTTACAAATACATCTTCCATAAAATCCTTCTAAGTCAACTTACAGATATTGTAATGCTTCAAAATGAATTAGTTTTTCTGGAGGATGCTATATAATCACCTTGAGACTACAGTATGAATTGTGCTGAAGCAAGGTCTGCTTCTAGTTATATTCACGAAGCTGTTGAGTGTGCTTTTTGGGAGGTATCTAGAAGTTCAAGGTTATTGCTGCACCACGCACATGGGTTTGGATGTCTCTCCTGAGGATTTTCAGTATACCCTTTCAATAAATAACTAACAGCTCATTCATTTCACATCAAATCCAACTCTTTATTTAAACATATTGGGAATTTGGTGACTTTAAATAGTAATAGTTAAAGCAAAAGTCAAGGTCTAATAGTGTTGGTGGGCTGTCGGCTATGTCAGAATTCTCTTTTTCAGGTAATGAAGGAAGCAGGAAGAGAGTTGTGGAAGAAAAGTGCTCAGAGGGGCAGAGGTTTTATTCAGCAGTCTGCTTTGTGTGCACCTAGCCCTGAAAACTTTCTCTGCTAACAACTGAATGGATAAAGTGCTATATATTCACTTGCACACACACACACAGAGTGTTAAAAATGCTTTGTTGATCTTTGTTGATCTGTGTGTGTGATACTGTGACGCACATAGTTTATATCAGGATTTCTTTCTCTTATGTGTATGATCATTTTTATTCCAGAAGGTTCAGATTCCTGGCCATGTGAGGCTCCATCACTTTTTGGGTAGAATCGTTATTTTATTAAGAATCACTGGCTATGTTAAAATCAGTTTGTTATGACTACAGAGTTTCTACTTTTTCTCTTCTAATTTAATAACAATTGAGTTTGGTTTTTTGGTTTATTTGTTTGTTTTTGCCTCATCACAGGGTGAGAAATATAAAAAAGAATCGTGGAAGTACTAAAGAGAAGAAAAGGTTCTTAAAATTGTCATGTGAAATAATGGGTAAATTTGTTGACCTATTTTATTAGTTGGCACCCTTGAGAGAAACAAAGAATTGGCAGTTTAGCAATGTCATGACAACATTCAGGCATATCTGAGGTACAGTCTAGATGATTTTGTGTAGCCACTCAAATTTATTTTTAAGAAGCCTCAGGGTGCCTCGTGGCTCAGTCTGTTAAGCATCTGTCTCTTGGTTTCGGCTCAGGTCGTGATCTCATGGGTCCTGAGATGGAGCCCTACATTGACCTCTCTGCTCAGCAGGGAGTCGGTTTGAAGTTTCTCTCCCTGTGCCTTGTCCCCTCCCAATAGATAAACAAATCTGTTTAAAAAAAGCCTTTACAGTAGGGACCATAACTCCCCACTCCTCAAGTGTGGTCTGAATTCCTTGCAGGGGGTATAGAATGGATGGGAGAAGAAAAAAGGAGTAACTTGACAGGGAAGAAACCTTGACAAATAGTACCTTAGCCATGTAATCAAGGTCAGTATCAACAATGATGAATCTTATTGGTGGTGTGTCCCTTGATATAATGTGGTTAATATATTACTTCACTTTCGTCTTCCCTCCAAAGCCCCATAGCCCTAGTCTAATCTTGAGAAAAACACCAAACAAACCCCAATTTTAGTTAATTAGAAAAAACTTTACACAGTGTAGCTAAGTGTGCTATGAACACAAATCTATCATCCCCTCTCAGATAAAGACAGAATGGCCAAATCTTTGTCACTGTTGCTACAGTTCAAATTAAATCATCAGTTGTTGACATTGGCTGCTCTTAAAAAGGTGAGTAATGTTAGGAGAAAAATGGTTAACAACAAGCCTAACACTCTAAAAATACTAGCATTAGGAAACAGATGACTTTCAAAGCATAGTAGGTATAAAAGTAAAACCTAGATCTCCAAAGAGCTAGTAACTTAGCCTTGAAAAGGAAACTGCCTGATATTTCATAGCAGAATATTGTTTACTTTGGTAAGGCTATTTGATTAATTGGTATGGTTTTTGTATGAAATCACAATCAAGTTGTGTCACATTAAAAGAAAAATTCCAAAATAAAAGAAGGTTACATATGTACAAATCAAAGTATTTGTTACTTACTGGCTTTTCGAAGCCATTTTATGTAGAAGACAAAGGAGAAAACCTTTAGTAACAAAGAAAAGCATTTCACTTGAGGATTTCTTTTCCATGTGAAGTCCTGGGGAAAAAACAATTGGGCTGTTTTTATTTTACATACACATTTTTATTTTTTAGATCCTGCCTGATTTAATTGGTTGGTAGGAAAGTGGGCCATGCAGTGGATACTTTGTATGGAGCAAAATGACTTCTAAGTTCTAGAATATACTATACATCAAAGATTTAAGAAAATTCTATAGTACAGAAACCAAGAGCAATGTGCATTACTGCATTGTGTATTTCTGGCTTCCTCATAAAATGTGGATGGTTTTTTGTAGGAAATGTTTCCATTTCATTGTTTTTAAACGATGGTTTTACTCTTCTTTTTTCCTAGGCCTTGTCTGCAGTATGTAAGAGAAATTTACACATTTACTCTTTACATAATACTGCCCTTGAGGGACAGTGTGAGCGCTTTCCGTCTATTAATCAGAGTAAACTGAGTTTAACAGATGTTCAATGGCAGACACCTTCTCAAACCAAATGTCTTCCTTAAGAACTGAAAGGCATACACTTTACACATCAAATCAACGTCATCTTTCTCCTTCTCTGTTCTAGTGCACTGACAGGCAAAATTCCCCAGTCACATCGCCAGGATCCTCTCCCCTTGCACAGAGAAGAAAGCCACATCCAGATCCTCTCCAGATCCCTCATCTAAGCCTGCCACCAGTGCCTCCTCGCCTGGATCTAATCCAGAAAGGCATAGTTCGGTCTCCCTGTGGCAGCCCAACTGGTTCACCAAAGGTAAACAGATTTTATTAGAAACACAGGTAATTTAAGTGACACTAATTGATTGCTCAGGTTCCTTTGAATTCTATTCCTCGAATTCTTGTGCTCTTAATTGTTTATGAAGAACTTTGATGTGTTTCTCATTTTGTTTATGGTAAGCCTACTACCATATTTTTGCTTTATTACTGTAAAAGTTACATAATTATTCAGAGAGTACATATGTCTATAATATCTACTTGATTTGCAAAAATGCGTAGAAGAGTAAACATGGTTATTCTGTAAAATGGATTTAAAAAGTCATTATGAGTATTAAGACAAATTGCATCCCCTTATCGAATGATATTTTACACTCATTTTCACCATGTCATGACAAGAAAAAATGTAATGGGGGTATATTTGCATAAGGGCTTACGATGTGATAAAGTAGCCATATCTCAAGGTGACTCAGAAGAGGGAGCTATTTTTATAGTACTTTTTATACCCAAAGGAATTAATTACAAAGAATTACAATATTTGCAAAGTAATTACTTTACTCTTTAATTTCAAAGACAGAATTCTAACTGTAAATCTAAGCCTATAGTTTGTTTTAGTTTTTTTTTTTTAATAAATTTTATTTTTTTAAACATATAATATATTTTTATCCCCAGGGGTACAGGTCTGTGAATCGCCTTGTTTACACATTTCACAGCACTCACCATAGCACATACCCTCCCCAATGTCCATAACACCCCCCCAACCCCCCTCCCCGCCATCAACCCTCAGTTTGTTTTGTGAGATTAAGAGTCACTTATGGTTTGTCTCCCTCCCAATCCCATCTTGTTTCATTTACTCTTCTCCTACCCCCTTAACCCCCCATGTTGCATCTCCTCTCCCTCATATTAGTTTGTTTTAGTTTTATGAGGACTTTTTTCCCCAAATTTGATAAGAGCTTATTTTGCTTTATTAAATATAAGACTTAAAAAGTTAATTCCATTTGCTAATATGCTTTAGAGTCTAAAATGAATCAGAAGCACAATATTTTAGTAGTAGTTGATCTTGATTACAGTTAACTTGGTTGTAAGATTAGATTAAGACTTTGTAGGATGGTATTTAGTTAGAATTATGTAAACATACAGCACATTCCTTTTTTCTATAGTATTTTCTACCCATAAAAGCACAAAATCATTCATCAGATGAACCGTGTATCTAAAAACAAAACCATAAAAGTCACATAGACTTAGTTCAGGTACATGTACCTTCATTGTTCCAGATGGGATTTAGACTGATTTTTTTCATTTTAAGGATCCATAAAAATTCAGATAAGTTCTACAAATAATGCTGCTCTATTATTTGTGATTTTCCACTCTTCTGGTAATAACTGGTAAAATAGGATCAAAGCAGATTTGCCCCTTAGCAGTTGCTTTATGTTGCAGTAGCAAATATGAAAATGGCAGAACCAACACTTTCATTCTTTCGGAAATATTACAAATCAAGCTGCTCTTTCAAAAGCAAAACAACAGCTGCTTTGATAGTTTTCTTTCTCTTTCCTTAATTGTGTAAAGGTGCAAATAAATTAACAATTAAATATTATTTTCAGGGGCGCCTGGGTGGCTCAGTGGGTTAAAGCCTCTGCCTTTGGCTCAGGTCATGATCCCAGAGTCCTGGGATCAAGCCCCACATCGGTCTCTCTGCTCAGCAGGGAGCCTGCTTCCCCCCTCTCTCTGCCTGCTTGTGATCTCTGTCTGTCAAATAAATAAATAAAATCTTTAAAAAAAAAAAAAGAAAGATATTCTTTTCAGTGAGTCAAAATCATCACATAATTTTGATACTCTGCTACTTTTTCCTGTAGAGTCTTTACAGTCCTTAACGCTTTATGTTTAGTTTATGTATTCATTTTCATTCATTTATGTTTAGTTTAACATTTTATGTTTAGTATAGTCCTTAACATTTTATGTTAAGTTTATGTATTCATTTTCTACAAAAAATTCTGAGATATATAAGCTTTTCACTAATTTTGAAAAATGTAATAAATTGATAAAAAGAAACATTAAAAGGTGACACAGGAATCTGCTAAAATTCTGTTATGGCTTAGAAAACAAAAATGATAATAGACTAGTCTGGAAATCACTTTTCAGTGTGTGGTACAACTTCTAATTTATTTATTTTTCTATTGTATATCTTCAGTCTTCTCCTTGCATGGTGAGAAAACAAGATAAACCACTCCCGGCACCACCTCCTCCCTTAAGAGATCCTCCTCCTCCTCCACCTGAGAGACCTCCCCCAATCCCACCTGACAATAGACTGAGTCGTCACTTCCATCATGTGGAAAGTGTGCCTTCCCGAGACCAGCCAATGCCTCTTGAAGCCTGGTGCCCCCGGGATGTGTTTGCAACTAATCAGTCAGTGGGATGTCGACTCTTAGGGGATGGCTCTCCAAAGCCCGGAATCACAGCAAGTTCAAATGTAAATGGAAGGCACAGTAGAATGGGCTCTGACCCCGTGCTTATGCGGAAACATAGACGCCATGATTTGCCTTTAGAAGGAGCCAAGGTAAGAAATAAGCAAAGCAGAAGCTAAACAGTCTTCTCAAACTCTACTGATAGGAGGTAGTAAAGTAGTATAAAGGGTTGGGAGTGGTTTGTTTTTTGGTTGTTGTTGTTTATTTATTTATCTATTTTTTTGCCTGGTGTGGCACTTCCCTGAAGACCTTTAATTATCTCCAAGTTATAAATAATCAGAAGCTCATTAAAACTTAAAAGAAGTCAGGAAGACGGTTCTAAGTAATTATTTAGTTTTAATGCGAAAACACTAGACAGTTTGTGGGAGATTTATTTCACCTTCCCTTATTTCATCTGCCAAAACTTTTTCTTATTAATAACTTGTTGGTGGGAGAATCAGCACTGTTTCTTTTTTTTTTTTTTTTTTAACTCACCTGATCCTATCTAATCTGAAAAAAAAAGTTGACTATAGCATATCATAAATCGGTCACTGGAATTGTGGCCAAGGACAGTCACCTCGTGCATCCAGGTAAAATGAACTTCTCCCAGACATAAAGACACCATTTCCATGTCCCTCTTACAGAGCAAACTCTTTCTCCATAAAACTGAAAGAGACGGCACGTGTGTTGAGCTCTGACTTGAAAGATATCACCACTATCATTTATAGATCGAGGAAAGAATTTTAGCTTGCAGCAAACCAAAGAGGCAGCAGCAAAAATCACTGAGTTTAGAATTCTTGGTAGGCCCTTGGCAAGTTGTACTCTAATATTTTCTAGTATTTGCTTCCATGATATTTTTGGCTCTGAGATCAGATGGTTGTCTTCTTCCCTCTGCGGAAGGAGGCTTTGCTTCTTTTGAAGACTGTAATATTAAAGTTATGCCTTTCTATTGATCTTTAATTGTTATTTTAGAAGAGTATTCAATTCCTTCAAAGTAATGGTTTGCATGTGATGAGTTCAGCATATATTCAAGAAAAAAAGAAATGTGAATTATGACATGTATTCAACTTCTGTGTGTCTGTGTGTCTGTGTCTGTGTATGTGTGCCTGTGCATATGTGTGCACATGTGCTCTTGTGTCAAGGTTAAGTGATAATGAAAACTTTGTATAATAATATTTAACTTCTGAGATTCGAGGGTAGGATATGAAGAGTCAAAATATCTAGTGTGGCATTCAAAACAAAGGGGAGGAGCAGTGGGAGTTTGCCATGACTCGTTGCCATGACTCACCTCAGTACCTTCATGCAGCATTTTTTTTTAAAGATTTTATTTATTTATTTGACAGAGAGAGAGATCACAAGTAGGCAGAGAGGCAGGCAGAGAGAGAGAGAGGAGGAAGCAGGCTCCCCGCTGAGCAGAGAGCCCGATGCGGGGCTCGATCCCAGGACCCTGGGATCATGACCTGAGCCGAAGGCAGAGGCTTTAACCCACTGAGCCACCCAGGCGCCCCCCTTCATTCAGCATTTTAAATATATCATCTATTTTAAATATAAAGATCTGTAAAGGTTTCTCCCAAGGTCATCTAAACATGTAAATGGAAGAAAAAGTACTTACAAAAGCATTTTTATAATGTTTTCTGAAAATGGAGTGCTTATCATCTTCGATTGTATATTTCTACAACCTAGAGCCTGTATCGGAAGGATCTGCTGGGTTTTTTTCTTTTCTGGGTTTTTTTCTTTTTTTTTCTTTTTTTCCTTTAGCCTCTATTATTTTTTTTTTAAGATTTTATTTATTTATTTGACAGACAGAGATCACAAGTAGATCACAGAGAGGCAGGCAGAGAGAGAGAGAGAAAGGGAAGCAGGCTCCCCGCCGAGCAGAGAGCCCAGTGCGGGTCTTGATCCAGGACCCTGAGACCATGACCCTAGCCGAAGGCAAAGGCTTAACCCACTGAGCCACCCAGGTGCCCCTAGCCTTTATTATTTTTCATTCATACCTGATCATACTTGTCTTGAGATGAGTGTTGGAATGAGCTCTGCCATGAATTGATTGGTTACATTTCGCTACATACTACAATTTATTTTGTAATGGATTTTGGATGGATTTTTAATGGATTTTGGAAATACTTATGGAATTATTTTAGCCAATTCATTGAAGACATCTTATTTCCAGATTCTTTTACATAATATGTTATACAGTTTTGGCACTAATATAAACCTGCCCTTTTAAGCCCTAGAACATCCTGGCTGTTAATTTTTGTATGGAAGGTTACCATTTTTTAAATTGGTGTTATAATTTCGTAGGCTATAGGTATGAAATTTTATTATGTTAACTGGAGGTATGAAATATTAATAGTGACTTCAGTTTTGAAGATTCCTTTAAATGTTTTCTATGTGAATGTTCATGTCCTAATCATTGATACATATTAATGTCCCAGAGAACATTGAGTAAATTGCTCAATATCTCTTAGTGAAAGCTGAATTTTAATCTTGTTTAGTTCTGGCTAAATATCCTCATTAAGATTCTTTAAGGTTTAATCTCATGTGTTGTGTATATTAATAATGCAGTGTTTATATTCTCAAAGTAAATTTCATGTTATAATCAGACATAAAGTTTTAACCAAAATTAGATGTCTAAGATTTATGATTTCAGTCTAGTTGTTCAACTTCTATGGTGGATTATAAAGAAGGATCTACATATAGTTAATGTAATAAAGAGTGTAAAAGAGATGTCTCCTCTTTTTCTCTTTTATTTTCTTTATGAAGGAACTTCAGTAGACCACAAGGTACATCATAATTTACATACAGTAGAAAAAGCCTAACTCCTCTTCCCATTTCTCTGTTGGGAAACCTAAGAGGCTGGCTTCAGCTAACATCTGACAGAAGACTGAGTCCATCTGGGATCTTGGGGTTCTCAATTTCTGTGATCCTGCCTTGGAGTTTGCTTCTCACCTTATATCTTTATAGTTCCTCCATCCAAACTGGTTAAATTTCACATTCGTTAAGTGCTTTCTAGATGCAAGACCCTCCTGGTGTCTAGGATAACTGGAATCCCAGTGTTCTGTTCCCTTTCAAATTTAACAAAAAGTTTTTATAAACTGACAAGGATAAGGCAAACCTAGTAGCTGAATTTTAACAGAGCTAACCATATTATCAACACAGATGAACCAGGTTCTGGAATCAGAACTGAGTCTTGTAAATGGGATTGACTCCTTAATTTATTTCTTATGTCTTGATGTTGGTGTAAAGAAATGCAACTGATTTTTGTGCATTGATTTTATATCCTGACACTTTATTGAATTCCTCTATAAGTTCTACAGATTTGGAGTGGAGTCTTTTGGGTTTTCCACATATAATATCATATCATTTGCAAAGAGTGATAGTTTGACTTCTTCTTTGCCTATTTGGATGCCTTTAATTTCTTTTTATTGTCTGCTGAAGCTAGGACTTCTAGTACTATGTTGAATAGCAGTGGTGATAATGGACATCCCTGCCGTGTTCCTGACCTTAGCAGAAAAGCTCTCAGTGTTTCTCCATTGAGAATGATATTTGCAGTGGGTTTTTCGTAGATGGCTTTGATGATATTGAGGGATGTACCCTCTATCCTTATACTTTGAAGAGTTTTGATCAGGAAAGGATGCGGTACTTTGTCAAATGCTTTTTCAGCATCTATTGAGAGTATCATATGGTTCTTGTTCTTTCTTTTATTAATGTGTTGTATCACATTGATTTGCGGATGTTGAACCAACCTTGCAGCCCTGGAATAAATCCCACTTGGTCGTGGTGAATAATCCTTTTAATGTACTGTTGAATCCTATTGGCTAGTATTTTGGTGAGAATTTTCACATCTGTTCATCGAGGATATTGGTCTGTAATTCTCTTTTTTGATGGGATCCTTGTCTGGTTTGGGGATCAAGGTAATGCTGGCCTCATAAAATGAGTTTGGAAGTTTTCCTTCCATTTCTATTTTTTGGATCAGTTTCAGGAGAATAGGAATTAATTCTTCTTTAAATGTTTGGTAGAATTCCCCTGGGAAGCCATCTGGCCCTGGGCTCTTGTTTGTTGGGAGATTTTTGATGACTGCTTCAATCTCCTTACTGGTTATGGGTCTGTCAGAACTGAGTCTTACTTCCTACTCTAGAATTTACTTTGTGGAGGCAAGTAACAAAGTACATCTTTGCCCCGACTCAACTTATTTTTCTTACCTTTTTTTAAATGAACAGGAAGATTGATTTAGGACATAAAAAATATTTCCTTATTTTAAATTCCAGTATTATTAATATACAGTGTTATATTAATTTCAGGTGTAGAAGTTGTTCAGCACTTGCATACATCACCCAGCACTCCTCATCACAAGTGCACTACTTAATCCCTGTCCCCCCAAACACACACACACATCTCCCCTCTGGAGAACCACCTGGTACCTCTGGGAACCAGAGTTAATAGTGTTTCTTGGTTTGTCTATCTTATTTTTCTTACTTTATAAAATGGAAGACTAATAGTACCTTATCTAGGAGAATAGTTACCTTCCAAATGCCTAAATTCTTCTATTCCTCAGGTCTGGAATAAAACCAAAAGTCACAGGTAGACATGAAGGAGCAGTAGAAGTTGTAATAGTTGACATTTTCATTCAAAATATTTGTCTTTTTTTTTTTTTAAACAAATTTGAAACCCAAATCATCATCTCTTTCTCTCCTTCCTCTCTTTTTATTTATCATAATTCCTATTAAGTACATAGTAAGCACTTGGTTGCTGAGTTAGTGCAGTATTTAAGCTGATGGTAGAAGCAAGAGAATGCGTATGTGCTGGGGTTGGGGCAGGCGAGGGCAGGTCAGGGAAAGGGCTTGGAGGAAGAGGACATCCATGATATGCAAGGAGGAAAAACAGGTGTGTGTGTGTGTGTGTGTGTGTGTGTGTGTGTGTGTGTTTTAATGTATTTTTCCAGCACTGGCCTTCAGCCGAAGGTAGCCTGTAATTTTCTCATTTGAAATAGGAGTCATTTCCTCCTCTTTTTCATGAGAATGCTAAAGGTTACAATGTATCCTCACCCTCCATACCTGGCGTGCAGTTCTTAAAACATTTTATCAAGGGAATAAAGGGGAAGGGGATCTAGATGTTTGGAAGTTGAGGTATCTTCACATAACGGTCAGTCTCTCCAATGGTAAGCAAACACACGCTTGTGTGAAATAGAAACAAGTCTCATTTAGACTTGTTTTCATTAGAGGGAATACTTCAAATGAACTATTAGCTTCCCATTTTCAAGATAAGAAAACTTGAGTAAGCACGACATGCTTAGATTAGAATTCGATATACCGGCAGGAGACTTCATAAAGTGAACACCCATAAATGGAGAGACCACTCACTTTCCTTCATCTTGTGTCCTCTGTCACTGTGCCGCTTCCCATCATCCATTAGAGGCATCTGCTCTTTCTGTTTGCATCTTCGCTAGATAAATGGTAAGGGAAGCAAGAATAAATTAAATTCTAATTACACCATTTGCTACTTGTAGAGAGCTGTGAGGGAAAGAGCCATTCAGCTCATCATTAAAATGAAGTGCAAGAATTTTCTGTGACTTTCATTGACTCCCTTTCTCTCCTCCCTCCCGCCTGGCATCCTCAAATTAGCTAAGGTAATACTTTCCTTTTAACATGAATCTTCAAGCCAAGAGTTATTAGGTTTATTTATCTTGTTTGATTGGTAAGAAATTTCTTTCCTGTAGTACTGTTTTCTTTCTCTGAAATTCTCGGATTCTAGCCACATTAGAAACCTGCTCCTTAAATTTTTATTTTGTTGGCTAGATATTTATCATTGGTGGTGGTTTGTTTGTTTGTTTGTTTAAATTAGCTGAGGTAAGGGGTGCCTGGGTGGCTCAGTGGGTTAAGCCTCTGCCTTCTGCTCAGGTCATGATCTCAGGGTCCTGGGATCAAGCCCCTCATCTGGCTCTATGCTCAGCAGGGAGCCTGCTTCCCCCTCTCTCTCTACCTGCCTCTCTGCCTACTTGTGATCTCTCTCTGTCAAATAAATAAATACAATCTTTTAAAAAAATAAAATTAAAATTAAAAAATAGCGGAGGTAAAAATATTTGCGTTAAATATGTTTTAAAATATCATTGGACACTTGAAATTTATCTGCTTGTATCCAGATATTAACATTATGTTAAAGTATCTTTATTTGTTCCTCTTGAAAGTTTAAGAATACTGCTGTTTCTAATATGATAAAAACTATCTCTGACTTATGATGTTACTTCAAATGACATTATTCTAAAATGACCCTGTGTACAATAATCTTTAGAAGATGCTGCTAGATAAATACATAGAAAGATTCCCCTTTCTGAGATTGTGGCTTTTGCTTTTTGGTGGAGAGGCACATATTTATATGAATGACCTTAAGCTTATCTATAAATCTGAAGGACTATCAAGAAATAAGTTCCCAATGTACACTGGTGTCATTTCCAATCTGACGTTGTAGAAGGACAAATTGTAGTGATATTTTTGGGTAGTGTTTGTGTGCCTCCCCATACTGGGATACAGAAAAGGGATTGCATTTGGGGTTTTGTACAAATAAAAAATTTTGTCTTAATTGTCCTAAGATTATCACAAAAGCATGCATTTTTCCGTGTATCTCAAGGGTCCCAAATACTTTAAGCTTAATTTTTAGACAATATTTGAATCAGAAGAAGGCATTTCAAACTTCAAGATTCGCACTGATGCTATCTTGAGGCATGTAAAAACATATTAATCTAGGATAACCTAAAATTTATAATAAGTTACTTGATAACTCTGATTAACTTCTTCCATAAGTCTAAGCTTCCCCTAATGTCTTTTTATTTCTTCAACCTCTTTTAGCTCTATGAGTACTTAGAATGTTCAAGACACCAGGGGAAATATGAAATGAATAAAGCAAAAGTCTAGTGAGAATGAGATGGGTGTATGATTAGTTCACTGAAAGATAAGGCATAGGAGAAGCATTCATAAAGAACAATACGGGCTCCTCAAGAAGAAAAGCAAATCTAATTGAGATGCAGTGTAAAAGAAGGAATAAAGAAAGCTGTGTGCAAGAAGGTCACTGGCTTATAGACATGAAAAGATTGGAGGGTGTTTCTGTAGACATGACAGGGAAGTATGGCATGAAGGAAGGGAGAATGGGTATAGCGAAGGAAGTCCATTTGGGATGGATACGACGTAGAGAAACTATAGTCAGGGTAGATGAAATTACAGCAGTGCAGACTGAAACCAATAATATAGTGTCCTGAATTCTACACTCAGTTGTCTTTCATTTGTTAGACAGGAAAGAGGTTTTAAAGGTTTTTGTTGTTGTTACTGCTTTTTGGCAGAAGAGTAATAGGATCAGAATATTTACATTGGTGGCATTTTCAATGAAATTGTGGTAGTTTGGGGACAGTCAGCTGGGAAGGCAGAAGAAAAAAGATGTCTCCTTAGTTAAAGAATTAAAGAAGAAGAAGACCTGAATCTGGGGCACCTGGTAGCTCAGTTGGTTAAGGGTCTGACTCTTGATTTCGGCTCCGGTCATGATCCCAGGATTGTTACATCGAACCGCTTGTGGGGCTTCACACCAAGGGTGGAACCTGCTTGAGATCTGAAGATTCTCCTTCTTCCTCTGCCCATCCCTACTCCCCACCCCCAACTCCCTTGCCTCTCCTAACGGCGGGGGGGGGGGGGGGGGGGGGGGGGGGGAAGAGGCCTGAATCCGTGAAGTTCAGTGTAAACTCTCAATCAGTGCTATCAATCTGCACTTTTGAGGAACAGTTTTTTTTCTCCTATTTATAAACGGGCTTTTCAGATTCCCAGAGAACATAAAATATTTATTTTTAGCTCAACCTGTAATTTATTGCACTCACTCAGGTTGTGGCAGCTAAAATGATTCTAAGTCTGCTGGAATGTGTGCAGGTGGGAGCAGGGCGTTCAGAACGAAGTGGTGTTGGGATCTGTTTTGTCACCATGTAACTCTAATATCACCTCTAATGAGGGAAACAGGCAAAGGAGAGAATGGAACTCCAGCATAGGTCCTAGTTTTTAGAGTGACACCTCAATGCTTTAAAATTGAGATTGTATAACTCTGAAAAGCAATCATTGATATAGTTCAAATGTGTTCTTTAAACTATGTTTCTTATTTTAAACAGATAGAGAAGGGCATGGACTTTCATTTTGCATTCTAAAAGCTTTGATACCATTTTAGAAATACCAGTGGAGGAAAAGAAATTGGTAGGTCATTGATGGGGCTATCGGGCTTTTCAGGTCATAGTACAGCCTTTTGCCCCCTCATTAGCCTACCTTTTAATTATGAATTAATAAGAATTTAAGTAAGAGCCTCATGATAAAACTTTAACGATTACTTGAAGATTTTAAAATACACTTCACCTTTTCCATATGTGTATGAATATACAATGTTATTCTCTCTTTTTTTAAATCACTTTAATTTCAAGTTGTTGCATTAGTAACAAGCAATTGTTCAGTCTCTGTAGTGTAACTGAGAAACCTAGAAATCGGAATTTCTTACCCTGAGTAATTAAGTACCTTATAAGCAAGGTAACAGTTTTAGTTTGTGCTGTTCACATGGAAAATTTCATTTAAAATTGCATGCACTTTGAAAGCCAGAACAGGTCTCTCGTTGCCCATAGTGTTGAAGCTTCAGCCTTGGAAGATGAAAGGCATTTCTGATAGTACTCATGTACTGTCTTATCAAGAAGTTTAAAAATGTTCTGTTAACCCCAGAGAGATATAATTTAGAACACTTTTATTTGAAAGAATTGCACCAGCACCATTTTCTCTTCACGGAATCCTATAGAGAATGGTAACTTTTCCATAAAAACTGATTGGTATTTGGGAAATGTTACTGTCTGTGTATCTAGCTACCTGTTTCAGATTTATAGAAATTATCGTACATATCCCTTCTCAGTGTATTCAAGTATCATGTTGTATTGTATTTTTTATGTATAACGTTGTACTCCTTTGGGTAATGGTGAATGATCGCTATGGTGCTACTGACACCTAGGTAAATTATATGATATTTCGCTTGTTTAAATAAACTGACATTACCCTTGCTTTTCAAAATTACAGTTTTCCTAAGAGCTGCTACTGTTTTTAGGTCCTCCAGAAGTTAAATTTTAAACCAGCCCTTTGATTTCCTTTCAGGTCTTTTCCAATGGTCACCTGGGAAGTGAAGAATATGATGTTCCTCCCCGGCTTTCTCCTCCTCCTCCCGCAGCCACTCTCCTCCCTAGCATCAAGTGAGTTCTGTTGAATTTGGACATCTCTTGTCCGTGCATTAAGTGATGGTAATAGTGGATGTGAGGTACTCAGTACAGAAAGTGCAAGGTGAATAAAAACACATCAGTAAAAATGATCCAGTCAGATTTATAAACTAATATACCAGCAATCAAGATCCTTCCTGGTTCTTTGCTGGGAAGCACAGCATCTAGGATACTTACCTAAACTTCAAGCAAGGAGCTCGGGGAGAGAAAACTTGTCTTCTTTGTATCCGAGAAGAGAACAGAGTAGCACAATGAGCTTTCCCCTCCAGTTTATCTCTCTCCCTGAGGGGTGTCACATTTATCCCAACTATCCAGTGTGATATCAGAAAATAGTCTTTGAGTCTGTCAGTTTTCCCAATTCCCAAACCCATTCAGCCACCAAGTCCCATTGATTGTTCTTTGAAAGTTTTTTTATAATCTGCTCATCTTTCCCGTTGCCTCCTAGCTGGACAACTTAAAGGATGAATCTTACACATGATGATACGTCATCATCTTAGAATTCGTATTAACAGATTTTTAAAATGGAGTTAACTGAAAAATAAGTTAATCCAGGTTATCTCATTTGAAAAATGGGGACATGAGACACAATGAACAGTTAAGTGATAGATCTACCCAAGTTAAACCAGGATAAAACCAAGTCTTCTGGTTCCCATTTTCCTTTTCTTCATGTTACATTAGGCTACCTGCCTTTTCTGTAATATATTTTGTTTACACAGCTGAATGAATTTAAATTCTGCTTTCCCCAGGTTACTTTCCTACTTAAAACCCGGCATTGTTTTTTCTTTCCTTTTAAGTTAATTCTCTGTTCTTCTCCTAGCAGTAAGATCCATGGGATTTTACCCAACTAAAATATTTTTCCTAAAATAATTCCTAATGCTTGCCCTCCAATCTTGTCTTGATTTTTTTTTTTTTTTTCCTGGTTTGGTGAGTTTTTCAAGCTGTTTCCTCCTATGCACTACCTTTCAGAATCTTTATTCTAAAGGTCCGTGTCTCAGGCTGTATTTCTTTATGAAAACTTGTATAACATCTTCATTAGCAATGATAGTAAGTGTTAAGACTAATTCTCATTTCTCTTCCTACAGTTTATGTCCTACACATTTAACTATGAACTCTGCTTCACTGTCTTCTAATTTTAAAGTGTTTTTCCATATTAAAAAAGATTATAAGGTTTTAAAGGCAAAAAACTTTTTCTTAAATTTTCTGATTTTTCCATAACACCTTACTCTTTTTGCTGTGTATTAAATACACCAAGGGTACCTGGTTGCTTCGTTGATTATCTGGTTAAGATCTCACTTCTAACTGAAAGTCTTAGAGCATCTTCAGTCCTTCCTCTGCTGGTCACTGACCTCCCCTATACATAGGAATAAAAAAGGAAGGATAAGCTAAATCCCGGCCCCCAAGAAATTTACACTCGACTTTAGAAAATAAAATGAACATACATGAAATCCCCAGAGAACATTACGCACTAAATTGTATTTCTAACTTGTTAGTTTTTACTTATGCTTGGAGGAAAGATTGCTACAGACTTTCCAAGTCCAAGGATGTTTCATAGAGAGGATGGAAATTTCCTGAGTCATAGAGAATAGACACAGTTCAAAAAGGGAGTGGACAAGAAAAGCAAGAGTGTGAAATGTGACATCATTCAGGGGACAGGAAACAGTGGGAAACTAAGCTAATTGGAGTATTCTCCAGTGGTAACTTCTTTGGGAACTGCCAGATAATGCAGCTGACATAAAAGTTGGAAGCAAATGTACATATTCTGTATAGTAGGCTCTAAATCAGTAAGAACTTATGATATCCTAGCCTCACATGAACTCTGGATATAGATAGATGATAGGTAGATAGATACACATATGTAATAAAACATCTAAGTTCAGTTAACTCTGATAATTCAGAAAATGAAGTAAATAAAAATTTGCCAATTAGAAATTAAATTTGTATATTCTGTTTACTAAATTCATACCATCGAGTGGAATGAGAAACAGAAGTTGTAGTTTCCTTCTTATATATCTGATATTAGATACCTGTTTCTCCTATAAGTTAAGAATAAATTCATAGCATAATGTATTTCATTAATGTTTTTCTAGTCCCTCAGTTTGTAAGTACATGTGAATATATGTTGTCCCCATTTATTCTTGATTTTTCCCTCAGAAAGAGTGCAGTTAGTTGCTTACCCAGAGAAATATTTTAACAATGTAGGTTTAACAGCAAATTAGTTTTTGATTTTTGCATGCTGCAAATTAACCATAATTAACAATACAAGTGTTGACTTTTTCTTTTTAACAAGTGTTGACTTTTAATGTTACATTTATCTCTTCAGTTTTTTATTCTGACTATATAGGTAGCAGTTCTTCATTGTATAAAATATGGAAACTGTAGGAAAAAAGAAAATTAACAAATATGTAAATACAAGCATCTGCATACTCAAAATATCAATGTCCAGAGTTTTAACATTTTGACCTTTTTTCAGATTTTTTTACATGATTTACATTATATTGTAGAGATCATGTCATGCCCTTCTTTGTTACTTAACATTTTAATAAGCACTTGTCTTAATCATTTATGGGCTGTATTATTATAAAACCAGCATGGAATTCTGAAGTGAACATTAAAATAATCAGACGTGACTCCAGCATATTAAGTATTTGTCTATCTTTGAACAAGGTAACTTCTCAAGCCTTCACTTTCTCCATCTGATAAATGAAGGGATTGTTTATCTTAAATGATCTCCAAAATCAACTTTTGAGCTTCAACTTTTTAGATTCTGTGCAATATGTTTTTTAAGGAGTGCTCATCTATAATGTTAATTATATGTGAAACATTTGGCAATTTAAGTGTGCATTTGTAGATGGCTGTTTGCATCTCTTTGCTGAAGCCAGTATGAGTTGGATTACTGCTCTAGTTTTCTTTGGTTTTGTTTTTTATGTTTGGTCTACTTGGGCCTCATTAGAGTATATAACCAGAGTCCAATGAGTATGGACCCTTAGCACTACAGGGGCATAGAACAGAGGTCTCCGCAAATAGGAATGAAATCGGGATGTTGGATGTTCAAGTGCCTAATTCCATGTTAGACTCTTTCTGCGTGTTTCAAAATCAGCCCAAAGCAAAATCACAAATTATTACCTAACGCAGATTTATAGTTCTCACAAATGCTGAAAATCCCAGTGTTGAATTCAATAAAGTCACAGCTAGCATTTACCTTTTTAAATGTACATTGTGTTGTTATAAATATTTACTAAAGCATAATTGTTAAATTATTTGATGTTACCATGATTCCCATTTACTTGATGTAAGAGGCTACTGTCTGATAGCGTTACTTACTTATGAAACTGTATGTTGCAGTTATGTGACTTTTATTGTATAACTTATCTTGAGACCTAGAAGAATATAGAATTTATTTTTTTAAAAAATGTTGTTGCAAGCTGAAGCAAGCTGAAACTGTACTAGTGTACATAGATTTATTTTTTTTCTTAAATAGTTTTTCTAAATGGTTTCTATTTAACATCATTGATATTTAGCTATAAGTGTAAAGTTCTAAAAAGCTTAAAGCATGGGTACTTATTATTTTCTAGGGGAGAGTGAAAAAAATCCTATGTGGGTTATTTTTACTTTGTAGTGTAAATTTTTACTAAACTATCTTTGTCTTGAAATAATTTGACTAGAGTTGAATAAGGTATTCCAGGGTTAAATAGTACACTGCCTTTAAAGCCGAGATGAGAATTTTGGTTTGGTTTTCAGAAAGTTTTGATTGGCATTATGACATGATACTAACTTGCATTTTTAAAGAATTTCCCTGGTTGCTCTGTGGACAATTGTCTTTAGGACAACAGAAATGAAAGCAGGGAGACCAATGGAGACTACTGTTGTTATCTGATATGGTAGACCCGTCAGAGATGGTCAGGGCTTTGGAGTCACGGTGATGGAGTTACTGGGTCAGCTTTGGGGCATATTTTGATCCAATGGTACCTGTTAATAACCTGGATATCTGTGAGGTATGATAGTCAGTGACAAACCCTACATAGGTTTTTGGCTAAAGAAACAGAGTAAATCAGTGCCATTTTCCAAAGAGGGAAACTGGTGAAGAGCAGATGTGGGAACAGGACAGAGGTGTAAAATTGAGACTTAGGGATCTGCTGAGTTTGGGATGCGTATTACACACACACACACACACACACACACACACACACGAAAGTAGAAGTTTTGAGGGAACAATTAAACGTACCATCTATGCTTAAAACTTGTATTATGTTCAGGTGAATATTTCAGTAGGTGCTGTCGAAAGCCAATAAACTTATTACTACATACCAATGCTCAAATTTAGTTTGATAGATTGATAACTATTAAAGTATTAGTTTGAAGTAGACTATACCAGTTACCCCTGAAATGTTAATTGGAGAAAATATGTTTAGAACACTGCTGTAGAGTAAAATTTTAGTAAGCATTATAGGTTATTATAAAAAATCTCCATTTATATGCCAAATTGCAAGGGAAAATAAACTAGAAATGTAGATTTGTGAATGTCGCCTCGACTGCTCCCAGAGAGATCACGCTTCCAAACATCAGTATTTGTGCATGTGAACGCGCATATGACTGTGGTTGTCTTTAGACTGTCGCCAGAATGGTCTGTGTACAAGTCGAAGTGTAAAACTATAAAGCTATATTTCATTCTATGTGAATGAAATGATCTGGTGAATTCATGGTAGAGGGAGAGGTTTGTTTTGTTTTGCTTTGTTTTTAACTAGAAAGTGGATGACATAGAAAAGGAAAAAGTACTAAGCCACGGAAGAGATTAATACAAATACCTCATCGTCATTTAAAAACACTTAAAGAGAATGAGCTGGATTGGAATTTTTCATTTTGTAGATGGTGCATACCAGGCTTATTATGTGTGCTTAGCATCAAAAGAGCAGGAAAACATGTTCTGTTGTTGTTCCCTTGAGGATCTGTATAGACAATATGTACCTCAGTTTTACATG